AATGCTTAAGGAGGCTATGGGCAGAATACTGAATGATTCAGGAAGCATTAAAAAAATGCAAGCAAGGTTGTGTCATCTGTATAATGCAGGTTATTGATGAGTCTTCCTCCAATCCTGATGCCACATTCCTATTCATAGGTCTCAGCCTTCTGGCCAGGTGGTATAAAACAGAACCACCAACTAATCATATGCAAGTTCAAGCTGAAGCTAAAGAAGTTTAAATCAAACCCACGGGAACCAAAATTTGACCTTGAGTGTATCTCACTTGAATTTCAAAACCATGTCAGGAATAGATTTTAGCCCTTGAACACTAATGAACAAAGACCAGATGAGCTGTGGGAGGAAATAATAAAAAAAAAATCTTACATGAAGAATGCAAAAGGTCATTACAAACACAGAAGAGGAAAAAAAAGACTAAGATGGATGTCAGATGAGACTCTGAATATTGCACTAGAATGTCAAGAATTCAACGCAAAGGAAAGAAATCAAGAAATGAAGGAGCTAAACAAGATTTCAAAAGGCAGCACAAGAAGACAAAGCAAAGTATAATGAAAAGTGCAAAGAGCTGGAATCAGAATATCAAAAAGGCCGAACTCAATCAGTATTTTTCTTTTTTTTTTTTTTAAGCCAAATGACTATCTTTCTTTAAGTCTTATTCTAAAGGGAATTTTTAACTGTCTGATGTTGATAGGAATAATGTTTGTTTCGTTTTATACTACTTTATTTACAAAATTTGAATACATTGTTTTTCAGAACAGCATCTTCCAATTTCCCATCAAATTGTACAACTCCATGATTAATCTCCCCCTCCCCCTGCACACCTTCATCCCTCTTTATTTCTTAAGCTGAAGGAATTGAGGAGCAAATTCACACCTCAAGTTTTAATACTTAAGGATGCTTTGGGCAGAATATTAAATGATCCAGGAATCATTAAAAGAAGATGGGAGGAATATACTTCACCAAAAAGAATTGGCTGACACAGAAGAATCTCATGAAATAACGTATAAGCAAGAGCCTGTGATGAAGGAAGAAGGTCAAGCTGCTCTGAAGGAACTGGCAAAAAACAAGGTCCCAGGAATTGATAGCATACCAACTGACATATTTCAACAAACAGACACTGTCCTGGATGTGCTCACTAAACTGTACCAAGAAATCTGGAGGACATCCACCTGGCCGACTGACTGGAAGAGATCCGTCTGAGATGGTATTGTCAAATGCTTTTTCCCAGTCATCAGGTTTTCTTTTCGCCCTTTTGGAAAATGTTTTTAATGCACACAGTATCTTTAGAAGGTCTCATTCATTCATTTTATCCTCTCCTGGGTGTTTCTGGCTGTATTTGTCAGCATTTCTATACCATGGACTCGGCTTTCTAAGCTTGGTCCCACTTTGTCTTTTATGATCTTTATGGTTTGGGTTTACCCCTAGTTCTCTGATCCACGTTGAGTGGATTTCTATGTATGGTCAGAGGTGTGCATCCTGCTTCAGCTTTCTGCAGGTGGCAGTCCAGTTTTGCAGGCACCATCTGTTGAAGAGGTTGTTGTTTCCCCATTTGGTAGGTTTTATTTTCTTGTCAAATATCAGTTGACCATAGATAGAGGGGTTAATTTCTGGGTTCTTGATTCTGTTCCATTTGTTTGTGTGCCTTTGATAGTACCACCACCATGCTGTTTTCGTTATTACCACTGTGTAGTAGGTTTTGAGACCAGGGAGTGCTATGCTTCCCACTTCATTCTTGTTTTTCAAAAGTGCTTTGCTTATTTAAGGTGTCTTTCTTTTCAAATAAGTTTGCTGCCTGCCTTGTCTATCTTTTTGAAAAATGAATTTGGAATCTGTATTGGGATTGCATTAAACATGTAGATTGCTTTTGGTAGGATTACCATTTTCATCATATTGAGTCTTTCTATCCATGAAAAGGGAACATTTTTGCATTTATTTAGGTCTCATAACACATCCTGGTGGCCTAGTGGTAAGAAGTTGTGCTGTAACCCTGAAGACACCTCGTTCGATGCCACCAGCTGCTCTGCAGAAGGATGGGCAAGCTCTTCTTATGCGATTAACAGCCTCTGAAAACCTGCCAGAGGGTCCGTTATGGGTCAGTTCTAACTCTATGGTACACAACAACAACAGACACTTTTTACACAACAATGCTCTCAGGTTCCTTCCAGGTTAAAGATCCTTCAGCTGCTTCCCTGTACTTCCTCCAGAACACAGCTCCAGCCTCCAGCTGTGCCCAGCACTCCCTTGTCTATCAGTCATACCCTTCTCCACATGGACTCGTAATGTCAGCCAAATGGGTTCTCTCCTTTCTCCTTTCTTTCACTGTAGCTTCAACTGGCTTCATGTATTGTCTAGTAAACCCACTCAGAACATTCTGCAAAAGAAATCTATGAGCAGAAAGGAAGAAAGCATACACTATTTCAGACTGCGAACAGTGGCTGAATTTCAACAGTGGTGCAGCTAACATTAATAGCAGCTCTTTAAGATGATTATTCCACAAGGGTTTTTTAACTTTTTTCTTGAATACTCTAAACTGTCTTTAATGAGAACTTGCCTTTTTCCTAATAAATGCTTTCTCATCTTCCTTGAGAACTCATTCTATAATCACTGTTACCAGGACAAGTGTGCTTCTCTGGGCTCCATCGTTGCTGGTGGTGGTGGTGTCAGGAGTAGTTTTCAACTCCCAGGAACTGCTGGTGAATGAGAGCTGAGCTGTCCACAGTTTTCAAGGCTGCCTGCCACCTTTTCTGCAGGAGAGCACAAGGTCTTTTCTCCCATAATTACCTGGCTGAACCACCAGCGTTTCACCAACGGCCTAGAGAGTAGAGAGAGTGCCACCGCGACTCTCAAGGAGCTTCCTGAGCACCGTGTAAACACAGCTACTGCAGGACTGAGCCAGATGACGTTACAGGACAGCATCATCACACCCACCACACTCTGCAGCACATCTACAACCACAGCTACAGGACAGTGTCCATCACACCACACACCTCACAGGTTTTCTCCATTTTGTATTCCTACAATTTTCACAAGGAGCCCTGGTGGTGGACTAGGCTGAGCACTGGACTGTGATTGAAAGGTTGGTATTTAAACCCCACAGTCATTCCAAAGAAGAAAGACAAGGCAGTCTGCTTTCACAAACATCACAGCCTTAGAAACCCCATGGGGAAGTCCCCCAGTCCTCCAGGGCTGGTGTGAGTGGAATCGACTCGACGGGTGTTGGAGCTGTCTGCTTGTCACCTGCATACACTACATATTATATTCTTTAAAATGACATGGGCTTTCCTGATCAGGTCTGACACAAAGGAGGGTACCAACAGAAATTATTTAGACTAATCGCAGCAATTAAAAAATAGTCACATATTAAATCTCTTAAAAATGAAAAGGTTTTGAATCCTTCAAGTCCTATAAATTGTCATAGGGTACTTCAAATTACAGCAAACCTCTATAATAATGAAAAGTATGTAGAATGCAACAGACATATCACATTAAAAAATATATACACATGCAATCACTGAAGTGGTTAATACAAATATAGAAATAATGTGGATATCAAATTAATTCTTGTGCAAAAGAAAAACTGCAATAATGGAATTATTTCATTTCACTGACTCAAAATATTTTTTTTTCATCCTTAGAAAGCAGGTTTTATTTTTTTAAGACCAGACCCAAAACACTAAGCGCACGTGAGATTCTAAACACTATGCCAGTGAGACTCACCAGAGTTTGTCTGAGAGAGACCTTCAGTCTACTATGAATAAGAAACCACCAAAGCGTGTCTGTTGCTTGTGGCAGCAGGAGAATCTGTGCTTGTCTATGGAGCTGTCCTGTGTTTAGATGTTTGTGAGAATGTGTGAGAGGAAGGATGAAGGTGGGAGAAACCTTTCCAATCCTCTTCTTCATTTTCTCCATTCTAATGCTCTCTGGGTCTGCCTTAGGCTAGGGCCAAATGATCACGGGTCATTTTACAAAGAACTTAGCCATCAAAGAACCCAGTGAAATGGAGAAAAGATAAGATATTGGTGCTAACGTCATAGCGGGGCGTTGGTGGGGAGAAATGGCTGGGTGTCCTAGAAAGAGGCTGCACATGAAGGCAGGCACTGGACTCAGCGGAGTGTGCGTGGAGGAGTGGAGGCTGCGTTAGTAAAGGCTCGTCTTCTCCATGATCCGCAGGAACTCTTGCTCACTGACTTCTCCGTCTCCATCACGATCTGCCTCATCAATCATTTCCTGAAGTTCTTCATCAGTGAGATTCTCACCCAACTCCTTCGCCACACGTTTCAGATTTTTGAAAGATATCCTTCCAGTCTCATCACCATCATCCAAGAGTTTGAAAGCTTTCAGGATTTCTTCTTTGGTATCTTTTTCAGACATTTTCTGAGTCATAAAAGTCAAGAAATCATTGAAGCTCATTTTTCATTCTCCTTCCTTATCAATCTCACTGATCATTTTCTTGATTTCTCCTTTCTTGGGCTCAAAGCCCAGGGCCCCTCATTGCCACCTTAAGTTCTTTGACTTCGATGGTGCCATTTCCATCAGCATCAAAGAGATCAAAAGCTTTTCGGATTTCCTGCTTCTGCTCTTCCGTGAGTTCAGGCTTGGAACTTACCCTCATTCGCTGGGAAGTCGACACCATGCTTGTCTTCTTAAAGCTGGAGGCCCTTCTGGGGCACAGTGCAGAGAACGAAGGGCGCGGATGCTCAGGAGCATGGAGGCGAGGTGGTGCGGGGCCAGGACCCGCAGAACCGACTCATAATATTTTATGGGAGGCTATTTTCAATACAGACTCTGCTACAGAATTAGAAAAACTGCTTTGAAAATTTCTATTAAAGGAATTTCATACAGAAATTTAAGAACTTGAAATGCCCCTAAAGTTTTTGCTTTTCTAGTTCCAAATGTATCTGAGTTGACTTTTAACTTAATTACATTTCAAAGTACAGGTCTGCTAATTATATTTTATAGGCACAATGAAAATGTGGAACTGAACAGATAATGCCACTTACCCTGGTAAATGTCCCTTCAAAACTATGAATGTCCAGTTGTGGCCTCTGGGCATATACATAAGCACTGATGGAGAAGAGGTCCTGAAATACAAAACATCTGTGTCAGCACCATCATGACAACAGACCCAGTACTCCCATACTTGTCCGTGACCAGCTTAAATGCTGAGGTATCATACACCAAACATTACTAATGAAATTGGTACTCAACTTGTGCACCAACACAAGAAGGAAATACAACACACAAGATCAGGTGAACCCACAGACTCGTTACACAAACCCATGCCGCCATCCAATTCTCTGACCATGCTGGTGAACTCAAGACCCAGAGGAAGCGTGACCCAGTTCAAGGCTCCAGGAGGCCCATGCAACAATATGGCCATCAGAGCGCATGGTGCAACTCAAGAACCATCATGTTCTTTCTACGGAAGTTTAAAAAATCCAGCATTTTAATAAATTCCACAGGTATGTCTGTACTAGCTAGCTACCCAGTTTTACAACCACTTTCTTGGTGTCCCCATCAAAGCCTTACTATCTACTCTCTCCCACTGTTCCATCACATCTCCACCACCTTCATCCTACCACTGTCATGTTCACAGCTCCTCCAGGTACACTCTTGTCAGTGTCCCCATCACATCTTCCCAGCTACACTCTCCCAGTGTCCCTGTCACAGTCCGTGCAGCTATTCTCTCATTGTCTCCATCATGTCCTCTCCCACGGTGTCCCTGTCACAGCCCCTCCAGATACACTCTCCCCAGTGCACTCATCAGTTTAACACGTACACTCTCTAGTGTCCCGCACAGTGTCCCTGTCACAGTCGCTCCGGCTAGTCTCTCCTCATTGTCTCCATCACTCACTCTTCACTCATCAGTTTATCAAGTTCACTCTCTAGTGCACCCTTCACAGCTCCTCCAGCTACACTCTTCTCATTGTCTCCATCATGTACTCTCCCTAGGGTCCCCTCACACTCTCCCCAGTGCACTCACCACAATTCATGCATGGACACTCGCCACCAATGCTCTCCCATGTCCCTGTCATATGTCCACCATCGACACTCTCCTCAGTGTCCTCATCAGAGCCCATCCACTCTCCCAATGTTTCTGTCACAGCTCCTCCATCTATACGCTCCCTCATGTCCTTGTCATAACTCTTCCAGCGATATACTCCCCGGTGTATCTATCGCAGCTCATTTTTCGTTCTCCTTCCTTATCAATCTTCCTAGACACTCTCCCAGGGTCACTGCCATTGTTCTTCCACTTACATGTCCCCCAGATTCTGTCTCAACTCTATGATCCACACATTCCCCACCATCCCTGTCAGAGCTTTCATCTGCACTCTCCCTTGTGTCCCTATCAGAACTCCACCATCTACACTCACAGGTTCTCGATCTACATTTAAAGAACAGGAATGCTCTGCCTATGCACAATGCAGCTACTCTGACAAAACTAGAGCTTGAAGCAGGAAACCAAATATTTTGGGTGACTCTATTTATGGCATCAGAAACCTCCGGACAACACCGTGAAGAGCTTATATTATAATCAAGAAACTATGTATAATGGCCCTCAATTTCTATGTTTAATTTTAAAAAGTATTCTATTAAAATAAGCTATTTAAGCGAAAACCGTATTGACAATACATTTTTTTAAAGATAGAATTCTTTTTATCAGGTTACCAAGAACTTGACAATACTAAATTTTGGCAAAGCTATATTCCACACCCATCTGTATTTGATCAGGTGCTCATCAGAAGACTAAAGTTACTCTATTTTTTTTTCTGTGTGGTCCTCCCATGCTTATGAAACAAGCCTTTATACTTCAATATTAGTGGATAAAATTCTAAAGGGCATATGTGAAAGATTGTCAAGAATAATCTAGATGTAAAGTAACCAACTACACTGGTTAAAATCCAAATACGGTGGTGTATTTTTCAAATTGATTCAGATGGAACTTAAGTAATATAAAGTATTTTCATAAACAATTATTCTATTTGCAAGCTTTTCAGGTAATGTTTTAAAAGTCATTTAATTCTTGCATTTAACTGTTATTTTTAATATTAATAGGTTATCAGAAAATTGGACAAACATAAACAGCAACTCCCAAAAATATCTATATTTATTAAAAGGTCTTTAAAAATCTAACACTTAAAAGGGATATATGATAGGTTAACCATATGATATTATGGTTATCACAAGAGTCCAGAATGAATGTTGCATAGTGGAGTGTACTCGGGGTGGTGGGAGGGGTGGGGGGATTGTATACTAAAGAAAGAATTTTTCTTTTACTTTTCAAAGAGATATGTGAACTGGGGACGGGAGGGAGGGCTGGGCAGGGAGAAAAGTGCAACAATGAATAAATGGAAATTCAAAATTTCTGTAAATGTTCACTAAAATTAATAAAATAAAATCTAGCATTTAAATGAGACAGAAGACAAATGATGACATTAGTCCTAGTCAGTGACATCGGTGCATGACACAGCTGGCACTTTGCTTGTTGTCTCACACGGATGCTGATCTGAAGAGTCTGGGGCCTCCCTTTGTGCACGCTTCTCTTCACTCTCTGACGAAAGTCTAGCTTCTCTATCCACCTCATTCACATGTAAGGTAATAAGGTGTCACCTGCAGATGGCTTCTAGACTTGAGTCAGGAAGAGACATCTCAGGAAAATCTCCCAACTCGTCTTTGGGGAATCTCTCTTCCATTCTATCAAAAATATCTAAATATCATTGCTTCGAGAAAATCTCCTTCAAATACTTCTCCAGAGTGCTAAATAGCAATAATGCCAGTTTAAAGTCTATGGTGTACTTGATTCAAGCCATGGTATTTCTGACTGCCTCCTATGCATCTAAAAGTTGGATAATGAATAAGGATGACATTAAATAGCACTGATTCCTTTGAATTGTAGTGCTGGAGGAGGTTAGGGTCCTCCTTATAGGCAAAGATGGTGGCATTTCCTCTTGAATATATATATTAAATATAAACTTTGGGCATATTTTCAGGAGGGACCCTATGAAGAAGGTATCCTGTTGAGAAAGGTGGAGGGTGAGAGAGAGACAATTCCTCAGCAAGACGGACTGTCATAGTGACTATACCAATGGGCTTGCGCCTGAGAGGTCACGAGAATGACGTGAGACAGGGCAAGGTTCAGAATGATTGAGGGACTATCAAGTTGATCGCCTCAAAACAAACAAAACCAACTACTGTCCTTGTTAATTCCTTCCTAGTAGTTCTACTGTCCTTGCCTCCTCAGGAAGAATTCCTGGTTCTGTATTTTGGTCTCTTTTATGGGTTACTTGCCTGATCTAATTTTTTTTTTAGCAAACTAAGTGAAAACTTTTTATTAAGGCAATAGAACAGACACATAGATAGTGAAAGGTGGGCCATGCAAAAGAATTAAAGTTAAAAAAGAAAGAAGAGGGATGGGGAAAGGAGCCCAGAAAGCAGGGCTGAAACCAGATCTTACAGCACGCTGTCAGGAGAAAAGGAGAGAGAGTAGTCTTGGTTCTTACTGTGAACTTGGGTTATGTATTTGCTCCCAAAGACTATACGATCATTTTATTTGTGCCTAGTTGGAAATCATATGCTTCTGTGTTTCACTGTTTTGCTTTAGTTTGCTTTGATATTTTGAGCTTGTGGGTCCTCCTTATGAGTCTGCCACCATCCAAGTATTTATCACCTTTCCCCTGGTGGGGATGTGAGAGAACAGAAGTGTACGTGTGGATCACTGCTCACATGGGGCTGATGAGGGCAATCTGGGCTGGTGTTGGCCACTATCAATTGTTTGTTAGGTGATGCAGGAACAGGTGGGGAGGCCTTCACTCAGAAGGTAGGGTTGCATAAGTACAGGCACGGCTGAGTACAGTTGTTTTCTTGTTGCCAACACCTTATGTGGGCACTGGTGCAGTCACAGGAAAGTCTGGTGGCTGTCCCAATCAAAATGCTGATTATAAAAATTAAAAAAGCTGCATTTTGTCGGGACAGTTGACAATTCACTGACCCATCTGTCCTCTTGTTTACAGCTTCCATTCAGATTCTTCTGGCAATGATTAGCCCCTTTCTTTATATCTTTCTTTAAAGTTCAGGATTCCATGATTATCATTTTATCTGTTTCATTTGGTTTCTCCTGTCTTTGTTGTACAGCATCTGTGTCCTGTCAAAGTCTAAGGAAAATTTCCTATAAGAGGACTGTAAAAAGAAGAAAGGCAGCATGGGAACGACGTAGTTGGACCTCTACTAACTCCACAAAAGGAAGTGCCCTATCAATAGCATCCATAACACAAAACCAACTGCCATGAGCTCAGACATGTCCCCCATGCTCCTGCACCTCATTCTACTAATTCCAACACCAATCTTACTGCTCTACTGGGTTCAAATCCAATGGACTAGTTCACAAATCACACAGAATCATCTTCACAATTATGGGGCTTATTAAGGAAGTTAAAAAGGATACAATTTCTCAGTCCAAGCAGCTTCATAAGCACAGTCACTGGCCCTTTAACTTTCAGGATCACAGCTTAGGCCAGTGATACAAAGCTCCCTTGTTGTTGTTATGGACAATCAACTCAGAACCAACTGATAGTTGACCCTCCAGCGCAGCGGGTTTTCAGAGGTAATAACTGCATGAGAGGAGACTGCCCATCTTGATCCCACAGAGCAGCTGATAGAATCAAACTGGATTACCTTCGGGACTACAGTGCAGATTCTTACCACTAGGCCACCAGAGCTCCAATTATGGCATCTCCATCCAAGTTCTCTAGAAAATTGGACAGAGGTCTCAGGTTCTGGTTCCATAGGTTAGCAGTCCCAAGTCAGCTCTTCCTTGTGGTGAGATTCTCAAAATCTGCTGCTGAATCTGTTCAATTCATTGGTGATACTAGTCAACGTATTCTTGGACAGATCAACATACCACATTCATGTGCTCCCAAGCATCCAAAGTCAAAGTCAATCGATGGACAGGAAAGCCACTTTGAACAATAAACCCTTGACACTCCAAGTACAGATTTCTGAACAACAACAGAATGATTTACTAACAACACTAATAGGAAACAACAACTCAAATAAGAGGAAAAGTTCAACTAAAACTCATTTT